GCCAGTCTCCAGACCTCAATCCAATAGAACATCTTTGGAGGGAGCTTAAACTCCGCGTTGCTCAGCGACAGCCCCGAAACCTGACAGATCTAGAGGAGATCTGTGTGGAGGAGTGGGCCAAAATCCCTGTTGCAGTGTGTGCAAACCTGGTCAAGAACTACAGGAAACGTTTGACCTCTGTAATTGCAAACAAAGGTTTCTGTACCAAATATTAACACTGATTTTCTCAGGTGTTCAAATACTTATGTTCAGCAGTGCAAGACAAATAAATTCTTTAAAAATCATACAATGTGATTTCCTGAATTTTTTTTTTTTTTAATCCTGTCTCTCAGAGTGGGAATGCACCTACAATGTGAGTTTCAGACCCCTCCATGATTTCTAAGTGGGAGAACTTGCAAAATCGCAGGGTGTTCAAATACTTGTGTTCTTCACTGTAGTTGTGGGCATCTGTGTCAGAGGGCAACAAGAACAGCAAACTGAAAGTTGACAAAGTTGTTTAGAGTGAAAATGCTTACTTTGCAGCAAAAAAAGATGTCTCCTCCCATGTCATGATAAAAAATATGAAAAATGTATTGGACTTTTGCTGCAGATTGAAGACTAAAATATACAGTGTTTTGCACGGAGGCAGATGTTTCCACCAGTGTGGTGATTGGTGCACATTGCCAATCACAGTAATTTAGGTGTTCTTACACATTGGCATTTGCTTTGTGTTTAATGGCTTGATGCTTTACTGTTTTACAAGCCTCCATCCTGCTGTATGTGGTTGACTTTGCCAGAATAACTGGGCTTTTCTGTTTTTTGTTTTACTTTCCTCCTTACCTTTCATCTTGACAGGCCAAAAGCCATATGTAGGATGTCCTATTAGTTTGCTGCACATGTCATTACTTTTAACTTTTAGAGATGTCATGGAAAGAGGAAGTTCATCATTTTGAGATGTCAAAAGCGACATCTTAAAAAGTGACATTCAGTATTGTAAGTTCTTGGTATCTCTTTAAATATTTTAGAAGGATGTGTAATAAGAAGAGGAGACATTATTAGCAGCTGTCTGGTCTGTACTGTTTCAAACTGATCTTATTGTTTCAGGTAGAAGCGCGTGTGTGTCACCGACACACACCAAACCACAATTCTGTGTTACAGGAAATGGGGCAATTAAGGACGGCTTGCTACAGCTCTGCATGGGGTTAATATGCAGCTCCGTAATTAAAAATAAATTACACTTTTCCTGTATAAATATTCAAGTCCCACTCCACTGTGTGCCACTGCCTTGCTATGGTATGCAAGTTTGATTTTTTTTGTTTGTTTTCTCCCCCCGTCTGCACAACATCTGGCACAACATTTCCTGAAGCATCACCGGAATAAATTGAGTTTTGTCTGCCTATGAGAGATACATTTGTGTGATGCTGGTGTGTCTATGTGAATGGGATGGACATACATGGCTTGAGGTTATGGGTTTTCTAGAAAGTGGGAAAGTTTTTATTAGAAAATTAAAATGAGGTTCTGGCAAACATGATGGGAGTGACACAAAATGACAGGAAAGCGACAAAGTGATTGTGGTTAATAAAACAAACTACACTAATAGTTACAACATCTATAGTTTAAAGTGGAACTTTGCTGAAAAGGAAAGGAGTCAAGGAAACACATTTGTCATTTGAAGCAGCATCAGTTTTTGATGGTGATTGCACAGCTGGATCAGCTGTCAGTCTGCAGGTGTCAGGAGCTCCATATGCCTGGGGGCTTTTGTTTTATCAGATTATATGAGGTCCTGTCCAAATAATAACTGCTGCTGGCAGGATGGTGTAGTGATGTCCTCCAACATGACACAAGTGAATGTGAACGCTACATTAACTGCTAATAGCACAATGCACTGGAAACTCAGATTAAGATGTTGGCAGTTGAATTGCATTGTGGGTAATGTATGTGCCAAATATTGACAATGTGCAAGAATCTGTGAAATATAAAAGATAGTATCTCTAGTTTTATTGCATTAACTTTGATATTTAGTTATTGGGGGGAGGGTTTGGTCTATCATATCAGTCCAACAGTGTTATAAAAGTACAGTGCTACATTTATTTGTAAGTTTGTTTTGTCTTAACAGAGCTTTCCTAGTCTTCCTGGTAATATTCATCAGTTTTGATCCTAAATTGCCAGGATGTGGAAATGGTCGGAGAAGGTTTTGAACATTCCCTGAGAGTTTGTATTGTCCCCACTGAAGAGAGGGCAGACACGGTGAGGGGAAAGGGCCTTGACTCTTATTAAAACTATCATTTGTCCTGCAGCTGACCTACACTAAAGAAAGACTGTGACAAGATGGGCATCTTAGGGAACACAGGTGAACAGCATGGTAATTAGAAATTAGCTGCACACTGGGAATGGACACAGAAAGAGAAAGGACGGCGCTGTTTCATCAATCACAAAACCACAGTGTAAAGAAAATAGCTGCTCATTAGTCAGCATTTTCAGAATATGAAAACATGACGTGTCTCAATTACAGTTTGTTTGTGAGAAGAAACTCTGTTACTGTGTCACAAGTTGTTTTGTGTTGCCGCCTATAACTCAACAGTCCTTTTTGATCTTTCTCATATTAGGAGAATACATCAAGACTTGGAGGCCGAGATATTTTCTCCTGAAGAGTGACGGTACATTCATTGGCTACAAAGAGCAACCACACGATGTTGACCAGCTGGAAACCCCCTTAAATAATTTCTCTGTAGCACGTGAGTATCTGCTTCAGAGAAACCACCACATTTTCCCCATCTTTCTTGGCAGCTTCTTTTACCCTTGTTTGTTTGCTGCTTTCCTGTTTTTACTTGTTTATTCACACATCCACCCTGAAGAGTAAAAACACCTTTGTAAAACCACACCTGAGTGCCTACGAGATGTAGGTATGAAAGTAAATTATCTGTAATATTATGACCAGGAGACCTTTCTTATTGTTAAGTCACTTCAAGTGATTATGAATTGAAGCATTGGCAAATTGGCTGTAGTATTATCTCTGCATATTTCTTTCGATGGGGGCACCGCTCCGAGGCAAAGCAAGCTACTAAATGTGCATGCAAGATGTCTGGAGATTAATACATTGGATGTCATTCCTCTTCTCTGTATGTGTCTTCCCCCAAACTCTGTTTTTGTACTATGACAGAAAATAACAGCAACAACAAAAAATGCCCAGAGCAGCCGAGCCCACTGCATCATCAGAGAAAGTTGCTGCGATAAGCTGTGCAGATGACTGAACACAGCAATTAGACTGCATACTGTTTGTTTAACAGAATGTTTCCTCTCCGACACTCTTGAGTTATCGTGGCTATTAGCTGCCTGATTTCAAGTATTTATCTGGGGCTCCACTCTGAGGCTGTGTCTCAATCAGCGACAGCTTTGGGTTTTTGTCACCACTGCGACCCTGGCGCAGAGGACACATGGCTGTCGCTGCTGACGGGGCTGCTGCAGCTGGATTACATATTCACCCTGATGGAGCCATGTTGGAACTCAGTGGTGGTCCACTCCCCCTGTCCCGCATCTATCAGACAGAGGCCATTTTGTGTCACGTCCTGACATATTTGCTGACATGTTTCATTTGGGAACAGATGTTAATGTGAAGGACGTGCAGATGGAATTCTTTGCCATCTAAATTCACTTATTAGAAAATTGTGAGTAATTGTTTTGCAAACTGCTTACAAGACAGTTATTTGCTGAGAAAAGTGTGAAAGAAAAAACTGAGAAATCTATGGTAACAATAGTAAAACTTGAAATTCAGTTATTTATGAAGTGTAGTTGCATTCATTTTAAGGCATTACAAGTTTTTGCAGTAGAACTCATAACATTTATAGAGAAACAAAATTTCAGTAGAATAAAAACTGTAAATCAAATTTTGTGTTCTTCCTATAGAATTGTTTTTTATTTAGAAGTACACAGATTTCAAATCTTTACCAAAACCAGTATTGGAGAATGTTAAGTTAAGGATCAGAGTTGTTTTCATCCACCAAAGTGCACCTGTTCTTTTCCAAATTGGACAACAGTGACTGTTAGGATGGCGATAAAGATAAATGGCTATAACTGTGGGTCTGCCTCTCCCCTCTACTCCCCCTGCTCTCCTTCACTCTGGCCCTTCTCTCCATCTCCTTCCCTTCCCTCCTTGGCTGTGGTCAGAGTGCCAGCTGATGAAGACGGAACGGCCCAAGCCCAACACATTTATCATCCGCTGTCTGCAGTGGACCACTGTCATCGAGCGGACCTTTCACGTGGAGACCCCCGAGGAGAGGCAAGGGAGAAGCGCACACCTCTCAGCTCACAGAGCAGTGAAACACAAATCATCTGCTTCCAGAGAATTTGCTCGTTGTTAGCTGTTTAAGGGCTCATCTGTTTTTCTAATACACAAACCTACACATTTAATCATTGTTATGCATTTGCACAAAGTCCACTGGCTATTGGGAGATTTCACACTTATTAATAATAATAAACTTGAAATTGCCTTCCCATTGATTAGACCGTTATGCTGCCCTTGCATGTTGGTAAATGAGTTGATGTAATGTTTCTGCTGCCTTTGCCTCCCTTAGGGAAGAATGGACTAAAGCCATCCAGGCAGTGGCTGAAGGCCTGCAGAAACAAGAGGAGGAGATGATGGACTCCTCTCCAGACCCCATGGACATGGAAGTCTACCTGACCAAACCCAAACACAAAGTAAGGCCCGTTCATACCTGCCAAGTTGACCATTACTTTTCCCACCTTCCTTTCCACTTTACCAACATCAGCCATGGTTGGCTTGGCACCAGACAGCATGTTCACTAGATGTCACAAACCCCACATGACAAGCCCACCAGATTGGGTGTCTCCCACACAACAACTCAGAGTCATAGGTTAATTGGCCTACAACTAAATGTAGGCCAAACCATTATAGATGTGGAAACTGCAATAGAGTACCATAGGGATGACTTTTTATTTTTGTTGCTGGCCAACTCGAAGTTTGCATCATCCTGGTTCCCTTGACAAAAAGCCAGTGGGATTTTTCCATAGGCTTTTGGATTATTGCAGAAAATAAGCTCTGTGACAAACAACAGTTTATTATACTTGCATGTTTTGTTCAGCAAAATAATCACCCAAGTGAACACCACTTTAATGATTTTTTTTTTTTTTTTAAAGCCCAGATATAATCTTCAGATGTAAAAAGCTATTGTTAGGCTATAAATGCACTGCAGTCTCTCTAATGTTACAGAAACAACGCATTAATAGACATGCAGTGTGTGGTTTCTTTTTTGTTTGTTTTTGTTTATTTTTTTTTACTTACCGTAAAGTCCCACCGAGTAGTGGAAACATCACTCCCTTTCAAGTAGCTCCAAGGTTGGTAAATCCAACCGGTGGTTGCTGCAGGAACCTCTGAACCTCGAATTAAGTTCTTACAATACATTTTATCTTCTTGGGCTGCGCCGCCCTGGACAGAGGTACAACATTCAACAGCTTTTTGATCCTATTATCCATTTGGTGTGAACTGGAGCTCCCCCTTTTTAGAATGTGGTAAAGTCTATGTGTGTGTGTGTGTGTGTGTGTGTGTGTGTGTGTGTGTGTGTGTCAGGTGGTGAGCCCCCCTGGGTGTGTAAGACACCTCCTGGTGAGGCAGAACTTGGGATATGCTATGTGGGTCTAGGTGTGGGTGTGAAACAGGCCTTTGCTAAAATGTGAATTGACTGTCTGGTCACAAAGAGATGCAGACATCTAGTCTCTACACAGAAGTTACAGCATTCAAAGTAAGCAGATTCTACTTCATTACAGTTATAAGCTATATAAGCAAGGGAAATAAATGTATTAAAATAACCAAAGCTCAGTAGTTCTGGACAATCATCAATACAGCTGTAATATGTATAGACAAGGAAAATAAAGTTATGAAAGGTAACTAAAGGGAACTAAAGGTATGAGAAGTAACTAAAGATTATAAAGTAACTAAATCTTACATGTGAATCACAGGCCTTATTTCAGTCATCTAACCAAAAACTCATTCAAAAAAACCCATGGACTTCAGGGCGCGGAAACCGGAAACCATCTTGAGCTGTAGAATACCTCCATCCCCATCACTCTGCCTGCTCGGTAATATCACAGAGGTCAACCACCTACCAATTAAATATAAAAACCCACTTCTTATTTCTCTATCGCCAAGAAAACTATCTTTCTAAACTGGAAATCTAAAAATTCATTACACATCAACCACTGGACCAAACTTCTCATAGAATACATCACACTAGAGAAAATTTCACCCACCCATAAGAATAAAATATCGACGTTTGCATTATGACTCTTACTATTTCGCGAGCTCCGTAGTCAGGAGACACCGGTCACATTGTTTACACCCGAAGCCAACTACTAGCACTCAGAAGCGACTGGCCACCTCATGGGGAGAAGCTGGAGATTCCCTTGGAAATACGGCGTGAAATCCGGGGCCGCAGAGCCGGCATAAAGCGCCGGGAGATGAAACTGAGGTATAAGCCATGTTTACCATCTGTCATTATGGGTAATGTGCGGTCCCTCTCCAAAAAGATGGATGAGCTAACAGCGCTAATGAGACTGCAACGTGAGTATAGGGAGAGCAGCCTGCTATGCTTCACCGAGACCTGGCTGAACAACAACACTCCAGATTCAGTGGTCTCCTTACAAGGAGACTAATTCGGGCAGATCGAAGCACAGCCGACTGTGGTAAGAGGAAAGGTGCAGGTTTGGCGATGTACTTTAATAGCAGATGGTGCAATCCCGGACACATAACTGTTAAGGAAAAATTCTGTAGCAGAGACATTGACCTGTTAGCTATCAGCGTACGGCCGTACTACATCCCTAGGGAGCACTCCCATGTGATTGTGGTGATGGTGTACATTAATCCTTCGGTCGACGCTAAGGCTGCGTGTCAGCGTGCGCTGAGCACCATAGCCGGGCTGCAGACACAACATCCACAGGCTTTAATTCTTATCTCGGGGGACTGTAAGCATGCTTCTCTCCCCTTCTCGGCCACCCTCCCAAACTTCACCCAGTATGCAAATTGCCACACAAGGGACAATAAAACTCTGGTTCTAATGTATGCAAATGCGAGGAAGGCGTACACCTCTGCTCCCCTCCCCCTCTAGGTCACTGACCACAACCTTGTTCACCTACTACCTGTGTATACTCCAGTGGTGGAAAAAAGTGTCACCTCAGGTCAGGGTAGTAAAGGTATGGACAGAGGAGGCAATTGAGCAGCTGAGGGACTGTTTTCACACCATAGACTGGGACATCCTCTGCAGTCCTCATGGAGAAGACATAGATGGCCTCACATACTGTGTTTCGGGTTACATAAACTTCTGTGTGGAAAATACCGTACCATCCAGGAGAGTACGGTGTTTTTCTAACAACAAGCACTGGGTGAGTACCGAGTTAAAAGTACTGCTAAATGAGAAGAAGAGGGCTTTCCTCTCAGGGGACAAGCTGGAGCAGAGCATGGAGAATAACAACATGCGTGAGGTGTGGAGAGGCCTGAAACACATCAGTTAGGAAACGTGTTTCCCTGTACAATGAAATTCTTACTTTGCCGTCCACATGAATGCCACAAAATACAAATGAAATATAAAGTAGATAAATAACAAAATCTAAGGCACTTTAAGGCAAGATAGTAGAAAAAAATATACAAGAATATAACAGAATGTATGCTGCATGGGAGCAGCATGTGCAGCAGAGTCGTGCAGTTATGCATATAACACAGAATCTAGGACATTTTAGGCAGCAACAAATGCAGCAATACAATAAAATATAATAGAGAATGTATGCTGCATGGGAGCAGCATGTGCAGCAGTTAACAGTCAATGTGCAATTATGCATGTGCAAACTGAGAATGTAAACAGTACATCACATCAGTACATGACTTATTTCCTGGTAATAAACTCCTCAGCTGTTTAGGAGT